GCCCCCTGTTCAGCTGCTGCCCACAGCCCCTGGCTGAAGGGGGACAGCCACCCTTGGGTCAGCTGGTGACAGCAGTAGGCAGGGTCTCCCTTCCTCACCTGCTCCCCTCACCCAGCACGGCACCCAGGCACCTGGGGAAATAGGTCCATCAGTAGGTGCCCTTCACTGTGGAAAGGTGGGGGAGTATGACCGCTCCACTGCACCCCTCCCACTCCTGGATTTGCCTTTGCTGGGTACCTTTTCACCGCTAGACTGAACAGCAGCATTCTTTGGCACACATGCAGGGCTTGAACTCAGACCCCTGGAAGTGCAGTGAGAAGCAGTAGCTGCTTGGTCTCTAGGCTCCCACGTACTCATTCCATTCACAAAAGCAAGCAGGCTTCTTGCAGCCAAGAGCACCGAGTTGTACATGCTCATCACAGTCAATCTCTCAAACAGACACAGTCAATCCCTCCTTGAAGAACAGACACGCTTCTCAGGACAGTTGTTATCCAAAGTCACTCCCTTTGTTTCAATCATACTGCCTGATTGAATACCCCAGGGCCTGAGCCCCAACCCCAGATCATTTTCTCATAGAAATAACCATTACCCATTGAACAGAAATATACTGCGGGTAGAAAAGGGTCTTGCACTTTGGGGCCACGTACTGGGAAATACAGTCTAAACACTGTGTGTAATAAGCAGCACAACACCCGTCCTCGAGAACTCTATGGACTGCCCTATGCTTAGAGTTTTATCCTGATGTTCTTGAAGCCAGGAGGCATTTTGGATGTGCGGCATGGTTGCAGGAGGGTGGTGCTGCTCGTTTGTGTGAAAATGCTACTTTGACGCATGGGTTGGGTTCTTAGTTCCTCTGCTTTCCTTAACCCGAAAGGTCAGCAGTTGGAGAGCTGGTATCTCCTCACTATCCCATCTCGACAGCATGTGTAGATCTCTTTTTCACATGCAGCAACCTGGAGAAGACAAACATAAACACAGTTTACACACTCAGGCTCTTAGATGAACACTGTCCTCATCTGCCATCTCCACAAACACCTCTGTCCTCTCTCCTGCACAAACCCACACACAGAAGGAGAAAAAGTCCCCATTAACTCTACTTAAAATCTTTCCTTAAAAAGACTTTTACTGAGACACTTTGAGTGACAGGCACCTGGCAGCGGCAAACTTTGAGGTCTGACTATGTGGAAAACAAGACAGGGACTTTGGTTTGAATAATCACTCAGCACAAAAGCCCTGGTCCTTTGATTTCCAAAAAGGAGGATTTCATAGGTGAGATCCTTTGAATTTTCTTGGGGAACCTCTTTAAATTGGTGGCTCTGCTCATCTACCATTAGAAATCCTGCTAGGAAAAAATGTGGCCTGGACAGTTCATAGCTGCCAGCAACTCGCGTAACTCCAGAAAAAAGGCTTATTATAGTGCCTGAAGGCTGAATGTGAGCGTACATGAAGCCTGAAAAGAAACAAGTGTTCAAGTGTCCTTGTTTTCTGAGCTGGGGAGGAAGAAAAAAAAAATCAGTGCTCCTGCCTAGCTCAGCTCTCCTAAACCAACTGCAGAGCCAAGGTAACTTAGTTAAGAGTGTTTCAGGTCCACAGGAATTCCCATTGGGAGAGGTCAGAAGCAAGAAAGGAGGTAAGTGTTAGGAAGGAACGGTTGGGTCCTGTGTTTTAGGTCAGAAACAAAGATGGTTTCTGCCCCACTCTGCATGCATTTCAGTTTGAAGGGGTCTCAAAGACGGCTGGCAGAGAGCACTCTGTTCACAAGATGCTCTTCCTCTGACAGGTGATAGATTATGCTTGCTCCAATATTTCCTACAGTAAAGAATGTCAGCTCACTTCTGCCCTCAGGAGGAGTGCATTAGGATAAAAGGGCTAAATCTGACTGCAATGGAACAGGGTTAAAAGAAGAATACTAATAGCGAAACTGCTGCAACCCAGCATACTCACCAACAGCTGAGGGAGTTCAAGGAAATAAAGAATGGGAACAGGAGAGGAACGGGGGACCCTTATTTAGGTCTTTCAAGATCCTGAATATGTAGCATGGGCAGCTCTGTACAGTTAGGAAAATGTACAGCAAGTGGCCCCCCAGTAAAACAGCCCTTTCAAGTCAGAGAAACCTGATCAGAACTAGCTCTCAAGTTCAAATCAGAGCACTGACAGACTCTCTGATGAGGCTCGAGTCCCTCGCCCTCTCTGACTCAGCTTCCCTACGTGCACAACGCACTCTGCCAAGACGTATTCCTCTTCAGTGCTAAGATTATGGAATGAGAAAATAAAACCTTGAAAATTCATGCTGAAAAGGTGTTGACTAGAGAGATAAAATAAGTCAATCGATCAATCACCAGCTAACGGCAGCCAATCCTGGCTGGGAATTTACTCTTCTGAGGCCAACAGGAAGCAAATTTCTCTTTACCTTGTACACAGGGTCGCAGTCAGCTTCCGTGAGATCAATGGTAGGGACACAATTAATTAGAGGCCATCGGTTCTAACGACTGCAGAGGCAGGTTGCCATCTACAGCAATTGTTTCATATCAGCGCCCAGCAGCTGCTGCTACCCAACAGTGCAGAACACCTGCACGTTACACGTACAGCAGAGCCCTGGGAATAGGAGAACTAGACCAAGAGGGGTCAGGCTGACCCTCGGAAAATCCCTTCGCATTGTGGGATGGCTCCTGCATTGGCTGGTCAAGGACAGCGTGTAGGAATGAAGACAAAAGAAAAGAAGTGAGGAAGTTGCTGATGGGTCTGACACTGCTCCCATTATGTCACTTGTCCGTTTGTCCTCCATGTGCTGTCTCAAGGTTACCTGGACAGCCAGCCATCATCTCACTCCCCAAGCCAGTAATATGCATAGAACTGCCTTTAATACTTTGGTTTAAATTCAGCCGACTGTGAGCAAAAGCCAATTCGTCCACTCTCTTCAGAGAGCTACGCACACAAGAAGGGTGAGGTTTATGATAAAGGGAACAAGACTGCAAAATGAATACTATTGGCACAACCAAATCTCTTGGACTACCTTGGCTGGCAATGAATCCATCTCTGTAAGGCAGCAGGGAAAGCACCGGTGCTCCTGATCTGTGAATGACCTGAACCGGAGCCCTAGAAAAAGAAGCAAACACAAGGTCAAGGTACTATATCCAAAGAGCACTCCCACGTGCAATTGCAAATCAAGAAAAAATGGAGTAGAACAGAGCAAGGCAGTGGTTACAGCTGTATTATGAGATCATGAGGGACAAGGGTACTGTACAGGAGTGGCTTGCTAATGGTTAACCATCATGGACAAGGGTGAACACTGGAAAGGCAGAGGCCTGCAGTCAGCAGAGCTCCAGCTTCTCTCCTTCAGCAGATGGATTAAAATGATGATTCCTCTTCATAAGCACTTCAGGAAGCTATGACAGAACTCACTGCTTTCATGCAAGGTTTTAAGGAGAGACTGGCCCTTAACAAAATGAGCGGGTGTTTAAAGCTTATCCAGTATGAGAAAAGGGAATTGTTAGGCTTGGAATACTGGACCTTTGGGGTCTTTATCCCAAAGTCCCAACAGCACAACTCCCCAGCTGGAGCACGCATTAGACACTCACACATGAAGTTCACCACAACCCTAGAAACAGGAGTTATTAAGAGAAGGAAGCACTCAAATTGTTCAAAGAGATGCTAAATTAGAATAAGGACTCCGTTGCTTGTAGAAGTGTACCATTTGAGGCATGTATTGTGTGTCGTCTACAAAATTTGGCTTCTTGACAAAGGCAGCAAAGGGTGAGGCTTCTGTCTGGTACACAGTAGGCTGAGCTGTACTGGCTGCAGGATAGATGGTAAGATGATGTGCAACAGGAAGAAGTGCTTCTGCTTTCAGGGGTTCTGTTCATCTGCTATGTTACTATGGCTCTGAGTATATGCTAGGGATTTCCAGAGCCCTGGATAAGCACCCACTGCCTAAGACCAGCATCTAAATAGGTCAATCACACCACTTAGTCGCTCAGTAGTCTTGGTTCTCAATGCAGGTCCTAGTGGAAGAGCAGTCACTACCAAAAGCAGTCTTCTCCTGGGCAGTCCCTGCAGAGAGGTCAGGAGCTGAATAGCAGAGGTCTTTTCAGTTGAGGCCCTGCCAAGAATGGCACCGAAAGCATGACTGCCCCATAACTGACCACGTTACAAGTGTTCTGTGGCCAACCAGGAGACTGTGACCTCACGGAGCATTCACAACTGTTCAACTACTTTGCCCAGCTTCCAAATCATGCAAGGGCTTCAAATCCCCTTCCCCACCACACACAGTGCACTCACGTTGTGTTTCTCATATCCAGTTGATATATGTTTCCATCCTGAGTCCCTGCCAGCAGATAAACGCTTGAGAGGAATGTGCAGCAGTTGAAGGCATCAGAGCCAACAAAGAGAAACACCTGGCCACAACAGGGGGGGAACAACCAGGAGATTATTCACAGATTACAGACAACAGAAGCTAGCAGAATGATTTCCGATGGGGTCCCAAGGAAAGGGAACAGGCAATTTATTCAGGAAGCAGCAGAAATCCTAGACAATGCTATATATATGGGCAGAACCACGCAGAGCTAATAGCTCTTCTTTCTGCCCCCGAGACAAGATTGCAAAGGGCCCCAGGAGCAGTCCAGCATGGGCACGATATGGTCAGCCCCTTGGGGTTTCCCTTGGTGAGAAGAAAAGGCATCAGAATCAGTGCTGCATTGACAGTGCCACCTCCCCATCAAAAACTTTCTGCAGCATTCCTCACAGGCCCTTCTCTCCCTACACCCTTGTAGCAGGCTCCCTCCATCCCTTGGCATAGTTTTGTTAGCACTGGTGGAAGGCCAGCATCAGCCACCATGTCCGGTCTTCCTTGCTTCTGCCTCTTCACTCTTTCCCCTTCTCTATTTACACATGGTGAGCAGACTTCAATCTGCTCAACGTTTGAGGAAACAGTTTGAGTGGAAGACGTTACAAAACAGAGATGCCTGCATTGTGCATGAGTCCCATTCCCTGAGACTGTACCCCTACCAACCCCAATACACTGGGCAGATGAACCCATCTCAATTTACATTCATCAGTACCTGAATAAAGATGACAAGCGTTTAAGGCCATGAGGGCTTATAAATCCATCCTCAAAGCTCAGTGGAGCAAGCAGATATTTTGATCCCTTGCTGTTCACACTACCATGCGGGATACCGCCCGGATAGAACTAGAGGGGACACTGAGGCAGCTTCTGCTCTTGGGTAGCACTACTTGCCCTGGGTGTGTTTGTACTGAAAGCTCTTGCTTAAACAGCTTTGGACTGATTTGGATCAAGATACACACAAGTAGTATAGTTCATTTACACAGCTAGCCCCTGAATTCATACCCAACAAGACACTGTTTGGTAAGATTTGAAGCAGCAGCCAGAGGGAGAGAAAGGCAAACAGCTGGGATAATAAACTACCAACTTTAGGAGGCTGTGGCATAAAAGTCCATCATTATTATTAAACTACTGAAATATTTGTACAGTATTACAACTCACAAAAAAACAACACAATAACGCAGGCTCCAGGTCTGGATTCGCAGACCAAGGCAGAGAAGCTGCAGGACATTAAGGCTATGGACGGATGTTATTTTCAAGTTGCTTTAAAAGGAATGGGAGAGTTGCCGAATGCTGTGGAGAATTACTGGCATATGCCTATTTCAGCGTGCAGTCATGCATGTGTTCCCAATACACATGCTCCAACAAGGAGAAGTGACTGCATTTTGCTGAGGGACCCAGAACATAGGCATACTAAGCAATACTCACTGCTTCCTGTTGGTATCTTCTGACAGAGGGCCCAGGAGATGCTTACCGGCTGCCTGCTCTGTAATCCCACACCTTGGAGCTTCTTGTCTTCCCGAGCCAACAGCAGGATTTTGTCTTCTGTGCCAATTTCTCGCTCACCTGTTAAAATGAGCATTAACGTCATCAGTGGCCGCACAACACATCTTAGCAACAAACCTGGGGAAGCTTCATAGTATCATAGTACTTAGGGTCGGAAGGGACCATCTGGTCCGACCCCTGCCCCAGGCAGGAACGGGTGCCAGGATCATATCACCCCAGCCAAATATCTGTCCAGCCTCCTCTTGAAAACCCCCAAGGTAGGAGAGAGTACCACCTCACTTGGGAGCCCCCTGCAGAGCCTGGCAGCCCTAACTGTAAAGTAATGTCTCCTGATGTCCAGCCTGAGCCTTCTCTCTAACAATCTGTGGCCATTGTTCCTAGTAACCCCGGGTAGTGCCCGAGGGAACAGAGCCTCCCCCAATGCCTGCTGGTCCCCCCCGGTGAAACCAGAGAAGCTGACAGAACAAACTGCTCTTGCCATGGAAATCCATGAGGTCACTGGGGTGAAGCTAGTATAAAGGGGGATGCTGATGGGGTTGGAGGGAAAAACATAAACTAAAAACATGCCCCTCATGCAGTTCAGCTGGCAGATGAGCAGCAGTCTTGCCCTCCATGAGCTGGGCCCTTCTCAACTGCAGCTCTGTATTCTGTCTCTACTCTACAGAGTCATCTGAACTGCAAGCACTCTGAAGAGGAAATCTGAAGCTTTCACATATTATTACTTACTGGGGGCTCTCTCTGGCGTGCCCAAGTTGAGAGAATTGTCAGCAACACCCACAGCAATGCCGTTGACAGGAGAACCACAGTCAGCAATCACTCCTAGGCAAGCAGACTTCCCACAATCCCAGAGGCGAGCGGTGCCATCTCTAGAGCTGGAAAGGACATTTCTCCCCCGATCCACGATGGCTGTGTCCAAGATTCCTAAACCAAGGCAAAGAGAGAGTAAGAGCACTCAGGAGGGAAGAAGGAAGGGACAGACAAAGGGTATCTGTCTTGCTTTGAAAGGCAAGCCTCAGAATCCTACAGGCAATAGGTCAAACTAGGTAAACCTACCTCAACTCTGTATTACTTGCACCCTTAATACCGCCAATGATTAGATAACCCTTTCATAAATGTGGGCAGATTAGCAACAGCTACTTCATCCAAACACAGCACACAGGAAAGA